ATTAATATCTTATTAAGCGCTATTACAAGTACAAAATTCCCTTTAAACATGCATAAAAGGTGTGATCAAGCAATAACAATAAATATCAAGCAACATAATAATAACCATCATAAAATTATAACAATCGTCATAATCATAATAATAATAATTAAAATAATCATCATAAATTATAACAAGTATAATCATACCTAAAATAATCATATCAACGTTAAAACATATTAATAGCAAGATCCTAGGCATGATACTAACAAGATTAATAACAAACCCTTGCATGTTACTAAGCATATAAAAATCATATATTTAGCCCTAACATAATACTAACAAGATTAAATATTAGGAAGAATACAAAAGGCATCATAACAATCATACTTAATATTAAAGTTACCCTAGACATGATACTAGGAATATCATAATAACAACCTAAGCATGACCTCTATATCATAACATCAATAAAAACCATTAAAGTACTTACTTTGATGCCTCGTATCTCTTTCTAATAACAAAATACACACGTTAGTAACTTCAAGGAAAATAATAAACAACAATTAAATTAAATAATTGAAAGAGAGATTTGGGACCAAACCCTCAGAAATTAAACCTTTCACATCTAGGACGAAGGCAACTTCGAATATGGCTAGGTGTTTCTAAATCTAATGAGTGTGGAATTTTGTATTTGAGAAAAGGCTAGTTTAGAAAAGAAAGAGAGAGAGTAATCAAGAAATTCTTGATGAGAGTTGGTGAATGAAAACGGAGTTTTTAGCATGTTATTTATAGAGAAAATCAGCCAAAAAGATAAAAGATCAAAACAGAGTTCTGACGCAAAAAGCCAGATTAGCGCCAAACGCTGACCTTAGCGCCAGACCCTAAGACTAGCGCCAGGCGCCAAGCGTAGCGTCAGGCGCTACAGCTAGCGTTTGGCGCTGACTCAGAAATTCACGCGTTTTCTTAAAATCAGATAAAAATTGCCGTACAGGAGGATAAAATCGCATTTTCCTCAAAAACGTTCTTTGATTCTGATTAAAACTCTAAAAAGTCAACAAAAAGTCAATTTATCAATGCTAATTGAATTAGAAATGAAAAGAACCTTCTAGAAGAATCTAGAAGACTAAAACCATTCCTAATTGCATTAGGAATGATAAATCCATATTAGGCCATCCTCTAGATCATTGGGCCGTATATAATGCTCAAACCAGACCCAGTTCAGTAATTTGGCCATAACTTGCTCAATATTCATCAGAATTGGGTTTATAATATATCGTTGGAAAGCTCTTTTCAAGCCCTATCAAACTACACTATTATTGGACCCATATCATGGACCAACTAAATTGGATTGACTATTTTTGTAAAATAGGTTTTCAAAAACAGAGAGAAGAGAAAAGAAATTAAAACTATCCGCAACACTAAACTTTCCACACTTTCACTTCATTCGATTATGATTCGACGTGAAAGGTACTCATCACTGAGTTTGGTTTTGGGGAGACACAAATGGGTGTCTACAGTAGGGAAAAAATCCTTACACACACCTAATAACACGATGTGACCATCCACATATGAAACTTTGTGAAACAAAATATTATAATTTTATATTACGAATTTTATCTAAATATGAAAAATAAAATTAATAACTCATTTTATAATAAAAAAATTGAAGTAGTAAGCAAGCGAATATTACAAAGTTTGTTAGGTAAATATATTATATTTAGTAAAATATTTCAATTGAAAAAATGTAAACAAACCGTCATCGCACGGGCTGTATCTAGTTTATTTTCTTATATTATCAAGTTGTTTCACGGGATAAGCTAACTTATAGTTTGGATTGAAGATTATTCCACTAATTTTTTTAATCTTTGAAATGATTATACGAAGTGATAAAACAACAACAACAACAATATACGTTGTAATATTATATTATTTTTGGAGAAATTGTCGGGAATTACTCGCTTAACAGGTGAATTATTTGTGAAAAAACTACTTGCTAAAAATTTTTATAACAGAAGTACCCTAAATTTTAAAAGTTTGGGTAACATTACTCTTTTTCATTTTTAAGCAACTGATTCTGGCGAGTGGATCCCATTAGTTATTTTCTCTCCATAATAATGTCGCGTCCTTAACCTTGTATATATTAACCAACCCTCCTCTAAACTTTTTAAATTTAAGGTATTTTTTTTAATAAATTTTTTAAGTGAGTAGTTGTTAAAAAAGTAACTTGTTAAGCAGTGATTTCTGATAATTTTTCCTTTATTTGTTGTTGGTATATAATTGATTTAAGTTGACATTTTATTTGAGTGTTTTTTTTTTCTTTTCCTTTTTTGGTGTTATGATTAAAATAGCAACGACATTAGGTAAGCATTTGAGTTTAATACTCCTATTTTAGTTCGTGGAGCCGACTTAAATATTGTTTGGTTGATAGCCAGGATAGATAGGTAGTCTACTAGTATCCACGATTCTAGTAATTGACCATATTCTTATTGGTTCAAATTGTTGGGAAATTCTTAGTGTGTAACTAGAATAAAGAGAGAAGAGTTTTGTTTAACAACCTAACTACATGAAAATAGTTTAGACTTAAATGAATTATTGATTTAAGTAAGTCACTTCTCATTCAAAAACTTTTGCATGCCTCCGATTTACAATAATTTTATTGTACATCGAACATTTTGCGAAAATGACCCTTTTTTATACAAAAGTGACCCTTTTTTTTAACAAAAGTGACCCTGTTTTTTTTATATAAGTGACCCTTTTTATTTACAAAAGTGACCTTTTTTCACAAAAGTGTTTTTTTTTCCGTAATAGTAGCCCTTTTTTCTTCATAAAAGTGACCCTTTTTTCTCACAAAAGTAATCATTTTTCTCACAAAAATGATCCTTTTTTTTTTTTTTTACAAAAGTGACTCTTTTTTTTCCCTAGCCTTCTCCATTATTTTGACTTTCTTTGGTTCATTGTTAGTAAAAGGAAAATAAGAGAAAAGAAAGGAGGGAACGCCATTGAGATCAACGAGGACCTCAATGTTGCCATCGCCATTTAGATCGGCGACGAGAGGCGGAGGAAGGCGATCGGCTTCGTATTTGATGGGGTAATCATCCAATAGATGAAACCAAGCCTCCCTAAACGACAAGTCTCCCTCATGCTATTACAGAGAAGAAGAATTGAGAAAGGCTAGAATTATAGTTCAATTTAATTGAAAAAAGAAATTAGAATTGAAATTATAGTTCGAATTCAAATTGAAAAAAATAATTAGAATTGAGAAAGGCTAGTGTTTCCTCATCTTTGTGCTGCTGTGCACATCTTCCTCGAGTAAACAGTGCCTCCTTAGCCTTCTCCAATATTTTGGCTTTGTTTGGTTCATTGATGATTGATTTACAATAACTTTATGTACATCGGATGTTTTTGAATATTTGTGCTTCTCATTTGATATGAATTAAACTTTGGACGTTACCTGTATGAATATTACATTCACATAAAGAGAATTAGTATCAACTTTTAGAATAGTTATATAACAATATAAGACGTAATTTGTAAATGAATATCATTTGTATCTCATACTTGGTAATATTCAATTCTTTATTTTCATTTTTGTTTTTTGTTTCAAGATCGAGATGCTTATTATATTCTGTTGTAATGACAATAAATTGAAAGAGCAAACAAATGAAACTACGTACTCTTAAAAATGAGCAATACCCAGTCAATTTCCCAAATAAACAAAATTTGTTTATCTGGAAGTATAATTGTCTTTTCAAGTACTAGTGAAGGGGTATATGCGTCTTTTCATGTACTAGTTAAGGGGTACATGTGTAATTTCCTCACCAAACAGTAAAAGCAAAAAGCAAACAGTAACTGAACAACTCACCAAAAGTACTAAATAAATTACCCTGTTTTTTCAATATATTTACAAAAATGCCATCAGATTAACAAAAATTCGTTAATCTTTATCTGGCAGATTAACTTGCATTTTCCCCTTAAAAATTATTTGTTGGCTCTTTCATTGTCATTACAGCAGAAAATAATTCGCATCAAACAAACGAGCCCTTTAATTTAAATCCCACTAGCTAATACACTGCTGTGTAACCATGAGTGGTAAGCACCACCATGAATCAAGGAAGCTCCAATTGTAAAAACATATTCTTCTTCCAAATAAATCAGACAATAATTAATAATTAATTAAATTCAAAATTTGCTAGCTGTTTCATCACGTACACTCAATAATAAACTAAACACAATTTAATTATATAATTGGCGTACGTGTGGGTTAATCTTTACTACCTTGACCATCTAGGAAACTTCATTTAAAATAGTCAATAAATTTACAGAGACAAAAATTTCCATTTTCTAGGAAACTAAGTCAATGACATTTAAGATTCTAATGCAATATTTCAGATCACCCATCTTAGCACAGATCTTGAAACCTTCAATTATTATAATATAAAAACTTAACTCTAAAAAATAATCATAATGTATGCTCAAATATCATGATTCATGGTATGATATTCCTTCCGTTACTTTGTATCATTTTGATTGACATATATGACATTAGACAATTTTAACCTTTAGGATCCCTTTCATTTCATCTTATTTTTGCTTTACTGAAATTATTTTTGTTGAACTTAAATTATATTTATTAAACTGAAATTTTATTTTACTAGTATAGCTTGAAATTATTTTGCTAAACTGAATTTATTTTTATTGATTTTCTTTTATAGTTTTGTTTAAAGTTACTGAATTTTATTTTACTGAACTTATTTTTGTTGAACTAAAACTATTTTTATGGGAGTGGAATTATTTAGACTGAACTTAAATTACTTTTACATAATATTATTTTTTTAAAGTGAAGTGAACAGGGTCTTAATATACACAATTACATGTAATAAAAATTAAAAAAAATTACGTTTTAGAAATATACATTGAAAATAATCCAATATTATATTAAACAATAATATTTAATTTGTAACAGAATATGAAATCAAAGTTAATACATATGGAGTAAAAATGTAAAAGTCAAACTATTACAAGTATCGGAGTGTGTATACTTTTTCACATATATGCATAGTCATATACTAGTATAGTAGTATATTATATATTATATGGTCCTACCTCATATAAATTTGCTCCCTCCCACTCCTCTCTCTCTTTATATACCTCACTCCTATTCCAACAAGAAGCCTAACCAAATTCACAACAACAAAAATCAAATATTATTCACCCAAAAAATTAACAAAAATGCTCCCAATCAAAGAAGATGAAAAATTCTCAAAATTAGTAACAAAGGAAAGTTCGATCTCTAATCCATCATTTAGAGTGTATTACGGTGGTAATTCAGTAGCCGTGCCTTTTGTTTGGGAGGCTAAACCAGGTACACCTAAACATACTAAGCATGTTGATTATTCCAAAGAAGAAAATATTCCACCTCTTACTCCACCACCTTCTTATTACCTTAAGCAACCTAAAAAGTTGCCTTCTAACAATGGTAGTAAAAGGTTTTCTAGTAAGATTTTTCTAGGGTCATTGTTTCCTAAGAGTTTGCATAAGAGACAAGTCTCATCGGCATCATCTTCATCATCATCTACATTGTCTTGCCCCTCATCGTCGATGTTAGTATCAGACTCCTCGACGATGAGGAGCACTGAAGAGAGTCGGAGTCTGAGTCTGAGCCTGAGTCGAGGGAAGAGAAGAACATTGTCTAGCCCTGGATCTTTGTTTGATTTCCTTGTGAATGGTCAAGAAGAAGATGAACATGAAGATATGAGGAGTCCTAGATCAATTTTGTGTTTTGGGCTTGTTGGTAGTAGGAGGATCCGTAGTTGTTAGCAATAAAGGTGTGATTTATGTTATTACATGCAAATTTACACCCAAAAAAAAAATATAGCCATGAAAAAAATAAATAAACATGGGATCTTTTTCTTTATTTTCTTACCTTTTTTTTTTTTTTTTTTTTTTTTTTTTTTTTTTTTTAATTTTAAGAAAATGGTAAGACGGAACAAGTTGTAATGTACGTGATAAATGGTATGGTAGTGATCTCATCTACCTTTGTTAACTCTTAATAAATGTGTAGATGCAAAAGAAGATGAGTATATTAGTTTTCTTAATTCTTAATTTTTTGTTAGTTTGCATGGTACTTTTGTCTAAGCTACTTGCTTATTTATGTGGTTATACATGTGACATGAAAGAGCAATCTCAGTAATGTACATTGTAGTTTTTAACTTTATTAATTAGGTTCTTATAATATGTGTATAATCTTATACAAGTTCTGCCTTATTATAAGTAGATCTGAATCTTCTTGTCTGAATAATCTATAAATGTTTATAATAATTTATTTCAAGCCAGTTATATTAGCATACATTACAGTAAAGTATTATCTTGTATAGGAGCATATTATAATATTAAATAGTACTCTACGAATACAAAAGCTCCCCTAATTTGTAGACATTTTTTATTAGTGTAAAAACCAAGTCATAAGATAGAGTTCAATTTGGGTCATATTTTAGTCATACTTGGTTATATTGTCAATTAGTTTATTTATTATAAAAACAATTATTAAGTAGTTACATAATATAAGGCAAATTAGTTTTAAAGGTTTGATTGGATGATTACATTTCCGTCGAGTTCATGTGATTTCAGATTCGGTTTGGGTTTGTAACTAATACGAAGTCATTCATTCATGCTACTTTTTTATATGAATGAATTAATGAGTTTTATTTGTCACATCAATATTTTTATTTCCGACCTTAAAAAAACATGTAATGTAAAACAAAGGAAGTATAATTAATTTGTGAGGGAATGTTGGTAGGCCTTAATTTAGAATTAATGAAGATGTATCTTTAATTAATTAGACCTTGTTAATTTTTCTTTTAGGAGGCCGGATGGTTGTTACAATGTCACTAACAATGCCAAGATAAACCTTTTATTTCTGACTTTATTAGTTATATTAATCTAAAAATTAGTTGCATTAATTATAAATTAATTAATTAGCTAATCTCGTTGCTTAGAGAAGGGCCATTGTGCCGTTTAACAAGCCAATCTCAACCGACAATAATTTGTTGAACATTAGCAACCAATAGTAATACAGTGAACCTGTTTATTGGTAGTGAGTAGGCCTTAGCTTCTAATGTTTGATGGCAACCTCATCTCAATCAATCAAGATTGTGTAATAGCAATAATTGTGAGAATAGAAAGTAAGCAACAATAGTACCAAATTTCAATTTCACGTGTAAAAAAATGGAAATCTTCTATGTACATACAATATTGATTAGTCCGCAAAGTTTAGTACTCCCTCATTTGCTTAGATCTATAGCAAAGTAATGTTGTGTTTGATAAAATTGTCACGGTTTTTAATATGATATAGAGTGATGGTCTGTGAGCGAAATTTAATTTCAGCGTCTTTATTCAATTTGTGGGGGACATGATGGATAATTACAACATTAGATGATATTTTTTTGAAATTTATTTTCTGATTGTGAGGGTTGGATAACACGATACCTTCTAATGAAGTGATTGTGAATGAGGGATCAACTTTCATTATTCATTAAGCACAAGAATAAGAATTGGGTTACATGCAATTCATGTACGTTGTATGCATACGTGTCATGTGTGTACCTAAAATTGTATAGTAAAATGTTAGATGTCTCATTTATTTACTAGTTATTCAAATGTACCCGAGTATATAAAAGACTTGTCAAGTATAACATAGGATCATTCCAAAGACTAGTAAAACAAGAGAAAGGAGGGAGCATTTCTTTTATCACCGGCCACTCTATTCAATGAGTAAACTAAGGTACACGTAGTACTCCGTAGTAACTATGAGGAGAGAGGTGTTTCTTTCGCCTAACTTGCTATAATATCTCATACAAAAGAATAAATGAAGGGACCATTAATTAGTTATGGTGATCATTAGTCACTATCTAATTGGTTAATCATAAATTTATCACTGCCATAAGTTATCAATGTCATAAATTCAATCTTAATTATTAGTGTACTATTTTTACTTTTTCATTTTTTTTTTATAATTTTTTTTTTATTATTATTATTTTTTTTTTTAAAGTTAACCTTATTGAGTTTGAATCTTACATAACTCAATCTAATTGAAAATAGCAGATAAAGCATATTCAGAAAATTAAAGGGAGAATGGTAAGGGTAAGGCCGTAAGGGTAAGAGATTTTAATCTCCCTCTCCTAAAAAGTCCCGTAATGAAATTTAATTCCACAAACGCATGATTGTGAATATCTTGTGACAAGCAAACCATACCGTTGTAGATGACCATATATACTTTGCTTGGTTATTAATCACTATCATTTGTTAATCATTATTATCTACAAAATACCCTCTATTTTTACTTCATCCGTTGTAGTTGAAAGCATATTGGAGCAATGTTATTGGAGTAGTTAGTTGTTTGCTTAGCTAATTGTGTTGCTTACACAAATCGTTTTTTGTCACTTAAACAAGCTTCTCTCAACCGACAAGACCAAAAAGTCATGGTACTTTCTGACTTTAGGACAATAATGGCATCAAACTAAAGTACAAAAATTTCTTTAGCTTAGTACTGTAACTTGAATGTCTGAGATCATAATTTTCACAATTAAAGTAGTGTCATGCATGCATGTTTGAGTGCAAGATCAAGTTACTAATCTCAAATTATTGTTATTAATTAATCACTTTTATAATACGACACCTCCTACAGGTTAACTTAGCTCATCTCTACAGGTCAATGTTTAAGAGTAAAGGGGGGAAATAAGGGAATCCTCCTACTCCCAAGCAAATATAATCGTTAAGGCTCGATATTGTGAAATCAAAGTCATAAGGTGAGTTGTCCACTAACTCCACCAAGTTTTGCTTGGTATTAAAAATCAATATGTACACTAGTAATTTATGAACTAAGTATAATACGAGTATAAGATTATTTACATAATCTATCAAGTATGTGACAAGAAACTGCATTCTCATTATGTTATAATCTTAAACAACCATTCCTTTCCAATCCACTATTAATTTGCATATTTTGAAAATTATTCCAGATCCACAAATAAGACACAAATATAAACAAAATTAAATATTAATTTTTTTGTATGAATAAGAAAAACATAAATGATTTTATAATGTTGAAATTAATATTGCATTGTGGGTCGTCATGCACCAACTAATATGATGCAAAATAAATAAGTACATAGTATTTACAAAATATATAGGAATTGCAATTTTAAGTTAAACAACAAAATATGTGGGGTATATAAATATATGATGTAGGTGTAAATGAAGGTAATGCCATGGTATATATATTGGTTTTTCCATACATGCTAGTACTAGTTTCTAGTCAGATTCATGGGTTCATTAATTGAAGAAGTAGGTGATTGTTGGAAGATAGGACCTTTATTTGCTCTAATGTATAAATATTTTATTTACAACAAAATAAAAATAATTTTCTATAAAATCTTTTCGATCAACATCAATGTCATGGGATGATGGGAAGCAATACCGCTCCTTCGCTCCTTAATGCACTATCACAAATTATTATACAAAAATCATATAGGTAGATTAAGGCTATTATAAACGAAGTATATTAGAGCTATCATAATATCTATGGTATTGTCTACTTAAAAGGTGACAAACTAAAAGAAAATTATTTTTTTTTAATAAAAAATTACATAATACTTCGTATTAATTAATTATTAGACGTTATTTTCTGAATGAGCAAATCATCTTTTTCTCATTATAATATAGAACATAATTATTATAATATTACAAAGAATTAGCAAATTTAGATGTATACATAGCATTTGTGTTCAAAATTAAGATGCATTGACTTAGAGAGGATATTAAATTAAATATAAATAGTCAATGATTAGATAGCTATAAACTTAGCACAAATTTTTATATGCAGTATGTTGTTCCGAGCGGTAGGGGTTACTTGAGTTAAAATATAAATTAAGATGCATTTGTGTTCAAAATTAAGATGCATTGACGTAAAGAGGATATTAAATTAAAATATAAATAGTCAATGATTAAATAGCTATAAACTTAGCACAAATTTTTATATGCGGTATGTTTTTCCGAGCGATAGAGGTTACTTGAGTTTCTCGATCAGGGGTTACTCGAGTTTTCGAGGTTACTTGAGTTTCTGGTTCAGGGTTTATCCGAGTTTCTCGGTCAGGGGTTACTTGAGTCACAATTTTTTGTTTGCGGCCTGACCGAGAAACTCGAGTAACCCCTAGCTGATTGAGAAACTCGAGTAACCCCTAACTTAATAACCCTTAACCGGGTAAACCCCTAAACCCCTTGAGTAACCCTTGTTCAAAACCCTCAAGTAACTCCTGACCGAGTAACTCTAGTAACCCTTGATTGAAAAAATCAAGTAACCCCCGATTGAAAAACTCAAGTAACAAAAAAAAAAAAAAAAAAACTCGAGCAACCCTGCTGTTTGGTATGGCCTGCTACACTAAAAAAAATTGCCTTAAACTTAGTTAGGTTGAAAAAATAAATAAATAAAAATTGATAGTTATGAATGACTTAGGAACAAATCAAATAACATCTCGCTCTATGTAAGTACATAACAAACGAATGATCAAATCGATTTGGATGATATTTTGGTAGCCAACCATGGCATTGCAAACATGTATGAAATCCAAAAGGGACCTTTCATTCAACGTGTGCCATTAATATAAATGCCCCTTGCATTATGCAAAATGGTAGCGAAGCAAAGCTAGCAAAGTTAGTTGTATTGTGAAAAGATCCAAATAAAAAGGCCCTACTTTATCTTATTAGTAAGTGCAAACTCTCATTGTGTCGGCTACACACAGCCTGGCAGGTTCATAAATCATAATACAAAGTATATATCAACAAATCTAAAATATATAAGTGCTTCAAAAACTCAAATAATGTCGTACCACTATTTTGTTACTTGTTTGATCACAATTTTTTTTGTCCCTAGATAATTTAGTCAACTCTAGGTTGAGGCCCAATGGTTTTAGCTTATGTCCTTATGTGATTGTCTCAACCCCCCGTTAGTTCCCATGCCGAAGCTTCTCTTTTATCCTTTGTTCGCTACATAAATATAATCTCGAAATAAAACAGATTTAAATCT